TCACCTTGAAAACCAGAGGCCCTGCCCCCGGTGCTGAAACGTTGGGTGATGCAGCACTCTGCGTGGGTGGGGGCCAAGCTCGCTGTTCATTTCTTCAGGGGTCGTGAGCCACAGCCGGTCTCCTGTCCGAGTGGTGGACGCTGATGTGCCTGACAAGTGGATGGGGAAAGAAGAATATTCTTCCTTTTGTCTGTGATGACAAAGCGCTGGCTTCCGGCTTTACTGAGGACTGAAACCTGGTCCAAAGATTAAATTTGCCCAGGACACCAGGTGACTCCCCAGACAAAAAGCTGTCAAAGAGTCACTGTATTTTTAGCATTTGGTCTGAAACCTTCTGTAAAAGTTACTCAAGCCATTCATTATTTAGATAATTCAGAATGCATGCTTCCGAAGTCACTCTAAAAATATAACCTGTCTCCCATCTCATCAGTACCGCGGAGCCCTGTGCTTCGGCAGGAAGCAGCAGATGGGGAAGTCTTGTTCGGTGGCCTCGTGAGAAAGCAAAGGTTATTTTTCTGACTTAGTGCTGGAGGGAATTGCAATGCTTACCCTGGTTTGTAACATACAAACATCTAATTATACACTGTCTTTGCTCCTACGTTCTTACTCTCTGGCTTCTGTTCTAAATTCTCTACAGTTCTCTTCCATTTGTCTTAAGAAATTATTTTCTTGGCAATCACTGCTTAATGATTTCTAGGATGAAACCCCAGGCAGCTGGTGGTACTGGATGGTTTTTGTTTTCTCTAGCTGAGTGGCTTTTGATGGGAGCACACAAAAAGAAATTAATCTTAGATCACAACTTGGTATGCCCATTTTATATGTGTAGGTAACTGAAATGAATTTCTCAAACGATACGTACTTGTATTACATGTGAGGCACTCATATTTTTCTGTTGTTATACTTAAAAATTGCTTCTTGCTACCCATTGTGGAGTCGTAGCTCACAACTTAAAAAGCACTGCCTTGACATGTAGCTCCAGGATGATGTGTGGGTCATTTTACCATCTGAGACTCACCGATCCTTTTTTTTTTTTTTTAAATAGAGACAGGGTCTCACTCTGTTGCCCGGGCTAGAGTGCAGTGGTGTCATCATAGCTCACTGCAGCCTCGAACTCCTGGGCTCAAGTGATCCTCCTGCCTCAGCCTCCCGAGTAGCCAGGACTACAGGTGTGAGCCACCATGCCCAGCGATCTTATTCAGTACACCTTTCCTAATGAGCCTTGAGGACCCCAGCATGGCCTGTGGGCCACCCCTTCCTGCTTCTGGCCCTCCCCCTCCCCGCACAGCCCCCTGGCCTCCCTTTGAGCCCCCATGAGATGTTTACACTGTGCCCACCCTTGCTGTAACCACCGCCTCTGTCTTGAAAGGACCAGGATGGTGGGGGCATCAGCATGTGGTGAGATTCAGATTGTGTCCTTTAAGTACAGTTCTAACCTACAAGATGAAGAGTCTGTGTGGTTTTTTTGAATGGATGTGTTCTTTGAGAAATTGAGTCACGTGTATTTTGTGAGGACATGTAAGCCTGGCATCCACATCAGTGCAGGCAACACCAAGCCAGTGTGTACACAGGGCCTGGGGAAGGCCCACAGGCTGTAATCGGGTCCGGGGGTGTCCACTCATGGTGGCAGCACACCCCCAACTCCCGCAGGAATGTGGTGCACACTTGGCCCCTTTCTTCTTAGTTAAAAGGGAGAGGGGGGCATTCCATCAACAGTATTTAGAGAGTGAGCTCTAAGTCAGTGTGTGATTTGTGTATTTATTTAACTTTCCCCATAATGGAATATGGATTTTTGTTTCACCTGATATGACACGTTTCAGGGGCTCTGTTTGACCTTGTCATTACACTAGGAAAATATTTGATGGCTCGTCAGAAAGGAACGTTTATAATTGTGTTACTAACCTGCACAAATTGTCAGCCTTGAGGACAGCGTGGCAGGCAATGAAGGTTGAAATTGACAGCATTTTGCCACTTCAAGATAGGCACGAGAAATGCCAGTATTCACTGGACGAGTTGAAATTAATTTGGGTTTTATAGGCTCTAGTAGTTAACGTGACGTTTGATGGGAACAATTTTGTAAGGTAATCATTAAAAATTGATTTGATTAATGTGTTTTTATAACTTTGGTATGAGATGCCGTACCGTGGTGGTGATGACCGAAGGGTGTTGCGATGGCCTCAGACGTTGTCCCTGCAGAGCCCATAGGCGGAGTCCTGCACACCAGGGCACCTCCTGACTCCTCGTACCGTCAGAGAAGCGTCCCTGGACACTCCTGCTCCTCCCCTCGATATAAAGGCTACCAGGAGGCTCTCTGGTCCCTACTAGATCTCTTCTGCCGTGTTGAAGATATTTTTTTTAAAAATGATGTAATGTCCTTAACCTAAATATTTTACGTTGTCTTAACCTTCTGTCGTTTTGGCAACAATGAGATGTTCTAAAACCTAGATCTCTCAACCAACTATATCTTCCATTGACTGGCAAAGCATTGGTTTAAGCCAATTCATTTTGACCACGTCCTATTCTGAGCTTGATCCCTTTTCTGTTTAAAAAATAATTTTATTTCCATCTCCCCTGATGTAAACCAATGAGACCCTTCTGTTTCCTTTAATGGTAAGGCTGCTTCGTCTTCTGCTGTTTCATAAATTGTTTTTTTAATGTAATGAGCAAATGTGATAAGGTACAAGTGAGGTTCCCTAGCTTTACAGTGCCTCAGGGAATTCAGGAAACTGTTTCATTTGAGGATTGGACCAATTGGAATAGGAGGTAGTGTTGAAGGTAACATACCAAGTGAGCATCTTAGCACAAGCCCCCTGAGGTGTCATCAGACTGTGCTGCCATCAGAATCCTTCTCATCCACGCCATTTAGAGGTAGCTGGTACACAGCCTTGCTTCCTTGCCGGTTACTGAGATGGGGTATGCAGTATTGCTTAAGAGCTGGGCTCTGGAGCCAGCCTAGAACCTCAGGCAGGTCACGCACCGCTCAGCTTTCCCATCTGTAAAATGGGTGTAATCGTTGTGCCTGCCTCCCAGTATCACTGTGAGGACTCGACGCAGCCTTGCTGCAGAGCCTGCGTAGGCTGAGCGCTGTGTGAGGCTTTGCTGCTGCAGCCTGTGGTGTGGGGCACCTGACTTTTGGTGTCTGGGCACAACTTAACTCACTTTATCCGTTTGGAGCTTTCCCTAGCAAAACAACGTGGGCATGTAGATGTTGTGTAAATTTTTGCTAAAATGCACTCAGGTTGATGATTCATGAGTAGCCTTTCAGAGCTATCAGGTTTTGAGACAGAGCTTTGAATAAGATGGTCTTGTCCTTCTGATGATGGCATCCTGCTTCCTCTTCCTTCACCGGTTAGCAGCCATCGCAGGAGGAGGAGAGGGAGCAAGTGCCAGTACTGTTCTGCTCACCTTAGGTAAGGATCCAATTTATGGTCGATATTCAACGAATTTGACATTAAAATTATAGCAAAATCAGCGAAATAGAGAACGAACAGGTATGCTCCCCAACTCCTTGCATGACTGTCATCAGTGTGCGTCACTGGCACAGTGGGGCAGGCCTGTGAGCTTGTCAGCATACCACCATTACTCTCACGGCCTGCTGCTGCTCTTGGTAAAACATACAGAGTTTACCGGCACTCCCCTTACAGCTTTATGCTAGATGAGGTGTCTCCCTGTTGGTCTGTAGCAGATGTAGCTAAGAAAACAGAAGAAATGGAAAGCTCATCGGAAGGAGAGAGGCTAGTCTCATTCTTCATGCATACCCGATCAGGGGTAGCTTTGATTTTTTATTATCCTTCATGCATTGTTTAGAGGAGACAGATGGCTTTCCAGTTCATCACATTTTTTCAATTATCTAAAAGGAAATTCCTAAGCCTGGAGCAAATCATTTCAATAAATCTCATTCATATTTACCTGCTGCTGCTTTTTAAATGGAAGAAGAAGAGTGTTTTTCAAGTGCATTTGGAAAGCAGTTTTCTGTAAATTAGAAAAATAAAACTTTCTCCATAAAGCAGCAGAGTGAGAAGAAGAGGCCAGGATTGGACGTGAGGAGGTCTGGGCCTCTCTCAGGCTTTCTCCTCAGCAAGCTGTGGGGCAGGGCTGCTCACATCCAAAGAACTTTCCCGCCTTTGTGCATTTCGAGTGTGGTGAAAGCAGCCGCGTATTTGCGTATGAGGGTGGCAAAAGGCAACGTGTGCATGTCGAGTCCAGTGTGCATCTCAGGTCGACTAAACGTCGGAGGCCACACCGCAAGCAGTGTCACAGGAGGGACATAGTGTGAACATGGTCTGTCGCACACCCTGTCGTCCTGGCCAGTGGTCCCTGAAGCTGCGTTATGACTTCCCAGGTGACTCCCAGAGTCTGAGAGGGGACTAGTGAGTGTCTCCAAATTGGATTCCCCCTGGCTGGGCCTCTTTTAAGTCAGGAAGACACATGCTATGAGGTCGATGGAGAGAGGGAGGGACATGGCGTGTCCAAAAATTAGCAGGACCCAATCCATAAACGTGGATTCTGAAGCAATGTACTTACTGGATTAAAAAAGGTTGTTTGGTTTTGTGTGTGTGATATGCAGTTTATAAGATTTACTAATAACTAGGCTATGTAGACTCTGCTCTCAAGAAACTCTTCAGTTCATAGCACTTAATAAATACTTGTTAAAATGTCCCCAGCATTTCGTTGCCACACCCTCCTTAAACAGGGCCCAGCTCTGCCCTCAAGCCCTCTGTGGCCCCAAGTAACTCTTCCCCGACTGCCCACGTGCCCCCAGCTCCTAGCAATGATCCTTAACCACATGGTGGACACCAGACAGATGGCTGTGGTCCAGCGGCGCCGGTCTCCAAGGTGACGGTTCTCTGCGCCTCCTGGGCTTTCTGCGTTCAACTCTCCCCTCTGCACCAGCCTCAGGCCCTGGACCTTTGTCTCTATTTGTGATGAAACATTGTTAAGACATGTTGACACTTGGTGAATAGATGGAAATACTAACTCTTTCTTTGTTCTCTTCCTGACAGACACGAGACGACTTCCTGGGCCAGGTGGACGTGCCCCTTAGTCATCTTCCGGTAAGGGAGCCACGTGCTTGCTGCTGCATGTGTGGGCGGTGGTTCGTTTTCAGAGGTGTTTGTTCAGCACGTGGAGATGGCTGAAATGAAGCACATGTACTCTGGCCCTGGCGCCTTTCCAGAAGGTGGTCCTTTCACGGGGATAGAGGACAATGTATTGTGGAAACGAAGTGTCTCTGGATCCGCCTGGCTCTCCTGTCCCTTCCCTTCTCTTCTGCGCTTCAGTTGCTCACCTTTGTCACATCCTGCAAAATGGCCGTCTCCTTCGCTCAGTCCCTTCCTTGTCACTCAGCATCTGCTTCCAAATCCATCCTTTGGGTCTAATCAGGCGTTCCTTCCCTTTGTCTGGAATTGCGCCTGCTGTTCTCTGGGATACATCCATGTAAGCTGCTATTTCCCAGACTTTGGTTTATGGCCTTCTCGGTCAGCATGCAGACAAAAGAAAAGACGCTGTCCATTCCGAGCGAACTTGGCAGCTAGAAACACCCACCCTAGCTTCAGAAAGTGTGCTGGGTCAGCTCTTGGGCTGCCACTGCCGTTTCTCTGCTCAGATGAGCAGCAGAACAGTCGAGGCTGTTGACCAGCGACTGAGGTTAGGGCTGTCACCGGCAACGTGAGGCAGTATCGATAGAATGCGGGGCCAAGACCTGGAGGCCCTGGTGAAGGTGGGTCATCTCCTACTCCAGCTTCACTGTTCCAGATTGTTCCACCCCTCCTCCTGGCCTTCTTCCCTTGGGCAGCACACACTGACATATGGAGGAGCTAAGAGAGGGAAGTCAAATGTTTCTGCCTTACAAGGGCATTGTGTTATTTTTTTTAAATGCTTTGTGTGAGCAAGTAGCGTAAATAGTCTATAAACTAAAATGACTTAAACCACGTAACGTCAGCTTCCCGCTGTGTTGCAGTTGTGGCCGTTGCCATGTATTAAATACCAAGACAGACTGACTCTTACCAGGGCAGCTTTGAAGATGTGTCCTGAAGGAACGTGATAACAAGCAGTTTGCTCTTGCCACCCAGGGGAGCTATTAAGGAAGAAAGGTCTCAAGTGCATTCCCTTCCCAAGCATTGGAAGCGAAAGTGATAACCTTAAAATATTTTATTTCTATGTAGAAACCTGAAGCTCCAGGGTGCCACAGGAGAGTGCTTGTGTGTGCCCTCATGGGGTTTCCACAGGAGACCGATTCCATGAGCCATCAGGAACTGGGTGATTCGTTTGAGGTCACATGGAGAGCGTGTGCATGTTTCAGCATTTGCAAGGAAAGACCCTTTGCATAGGTCTATGTCAGCCGGGCTGGTCGTTCTTCACGTTGAAACTGACTCTCCTCGTACTTCGAGACAACACTGGTGGGTTGGCCAGTTCTTTCGTGGATGTCCCCACCCTCCCTTTTCCCTAATGTAAAAAACACATCTTGGCCAGGGGAAATTGGTTTCTAATATCCTCTAAGAGGCACAGGTGAACAATTTTAAGGACTTGCTCCAACAAGCCTTTGTTTGAGTGATCAAGTGGAGATTGGTCTTGAAAGATTGGGCAGGGCTCCCAGAGAATAGAAGAATTTTCCTCTTCGGAGGCCAAGTCGGTAGAGGGCATAGTTCAGTTTTGGATTCGGGGTGGAGGTAGGGTCAGGGAGCCTTCAAAGAAGGAAACGGTGCTGAGGCTCAGGGCTGGAATAGAAACCCACAGGTGAAAAGGGGTGAGTTCCCAGAGAGGACTGAGTGCTTTAATGTGAGCTGAGTTGATCGGGTGATGGACCCTCCCAGTTTTGCATATGCGCGGATACTGGCTTACATTGGAGTGCTGTCATCTCTGTACTTAAAATCAACTAGCTGTTTGGAGCCAACTACAGTCAGGGGAGATGAACCACAAAGAAAACAAAAGGATAGAGGTGAAGATACATTTTCTCTCCTTCACATGGTGGTCGAACCCACCATGGGTTCGACTGGACTGGCCTTTGAGCACAGGATTTCAGGTGCTGTCTTGTGTATCTGGTCCTGTGTATAGGGCATTTGTGGGGAGATTATACAATGTTCCATGTGATAGCGCACACAAGTGTGAGTGTGTGAAGTGTATGTTAGCATTCAAATGTGTTTTGTGGAGTGACTCATGATGCTCTGTTATTGGTATTATAGCTACGTGGCCATTGTCAAGGCAGATTATATATGGCCTGTTGATACAATATTTGTCAAAATCGTTGAACTTTCGATTAAAAAAAAAAAATAGGGAAATGACGAGCGAGGACACAGAGTGCGGTATTATGGTGGTAAAGTGGCCTTGCCAACCCACCAGCTTTTTCGAGATTGAAGAACTCCAGTTTGGTGTTTGATGATTCATTGATTTGATAGGGCCCCATTAGCTAATGGAACATTCGTCCCTTCAACAAATATTTGTTGATAGGACTAATCTTTGAGGATGGATCCGTGAAGCAATTTCCTCCCTCGCGTAGCTTAGCGCCATCCATGACAGCAGCATGTGGCCAGTGCGACAAAGGAAGCTCCGTGTATTGTTTGTTGTTGTTTTCTGTTTGTTTTTGAGACAGGGTCTCTCTCTGTTGCCCCGGCTAGAGTGCAGTGGTGTCGTCATAGCTCACAGCAACCTCCAACTCCCGGACTCAAGTGATCCTCCTGCCTCAGCTTCCCAAGTAGCTGGGACTACAGGCGCACACCATGACTCTCGGCTAATTTTTCCATTTTTCATAGAGATGGAGTCTCAGTCTTGCTCAGTCTGGTCTTGAACTCCCGAGCTCAAGCAACCCTCTCGCCTCAGCCTCCCAGAGTGCTAGGATTATAGGTTTGAGCCACCGTGCCTGGCCTGTGTATTGTTTTATTTCATTTTAATTAAGATTTAAATTTAAGAAGCCACATGTGGCAAGTGGCTACCACATTGGGTGGCACGTGTGCGAATCAGAGCAGAATCCCTGCCTCAGGTCAAAAAGGTGTGACTGTGGCTTCCCTTTTCCTCAGGCGATCGTTCTGGCTACTAGGGGAGCCTCGGGGAGGACTTCCAAACACAGGCTTTGGTGTTTGTAGTGCAAAGCCCTGTTTTCAGATTCTTGGGGCTGGCTTTCCTAAGCTGCGTGCATGGCCTTACATTCCCTGACCCAAAGAAGCCTCCCAGGCAGGAGAGAGGGTCGAGCGTCCCCACCGCTCAGTGGCCCCGAGCAGCAGGCCCCTGGGGGGAGCCACACTTTGGCATCGTGGACCTGGACACTGCCCAGTGCTGGGTGCCTGGTCAAGTGCCCTGCTGGGCCTGTGGCCCTCATCATGTGGGAGTCGGAGCTCTGCCAGGGAGACAGGCAGAGGAGGCGACTTGGCCTAAAGAGACGGGGCAGGGAGCATTGTTGGATGCCCGGTGCCCTCCACACAGTGGAACGTCCCTACCTCAGTCCCCAGCAGCGGTGGCCAGAGGAGGCAGTGGCAGCCCTGTCGTCAGCACCTGAGTCAGAGGAAGGAATGAGTGGTAATGAGAAAATCACCTCTTGCCCCGCTTTGATGGTGATTCCTCGGTGCTTCCTACTTTCCACCTGCTTGCGGAGGAAAGAAAATGATGTTAGGGTTGTGATTCACGGTCATCCCCGATCTCAGACTCCATCCTCCCCGTTGTATTTGTGGGGAAAAAAATAGATAAGACACGGTACTGGAGGAGTCTAGAATGGCAGGGGCTTCTGTGTCCTTTGCTGCTTCTACATTTGCCACTCGCCCTTAGCATTTCTTTTCCATTTTATTCAATGTTGAGGGGAAGAATGAGTACAAGAGAGGCCAGGGGAGAGCAGGGAAGGTTGTAGGCTGACCCTTCACACAGGCCGGAGAGTTGAGAAGGCGCAGCTTCCTACTCTCAGAAGTCTCCAGCGGTCAGGCTTCGAAAGACGGGACTCTGGGGAATTGTTGACTTCCACCTGGGCAGCCTTAATCGATTATTCCCCAGTTTCCCTGTATTTGCATAGACATTTCCAATACACGTTTCTATACAGATCTATGGTAGAACATCCTCTCTGTTCCACAGTAGTCACTAAGCAGAGGCACCAGCAATCACGATGACATACGTGTCACCCAGGGTATCTGAGCAGTGTGAAGGGAGGCATGGGGGAGTGAAGGTGGGAGATCTTACGTCCATACCACAGCGGAAACATAGCTCCTCTATTTTTTCTCTTGCATTGGGACACCAAGAATAAACGTCACTGTAACTGTTCTGTTATTTTCTGTTATTGTTGATTTTTTTTTTTAATGACCATTTTCACATTTGTTCAAGTTCAGTGTATCATTACCTAAAAGTTCATACAGTATTTGATAACTCATATCTACTAATTATTTAAGGATAAAAATCATGCCAACACTTGTATTAACAACAGAATGAGAGTCCTGGCGGTGCTTGCATTCTGCACCTCTGCATCTTTTCTTGCCTCTTCCCTGGTCCATTTTGTCTCCCCTGTCTGTGGAGTCCCCAGGGTGTCCCCCTCTGCCCAGCAACACAATCTCTGCATCCGTGGGAAAGGCACTGAGGCAGAGAGAGCTACTTTAAAAAAACATGAATTTCTCCCATTTTCAGAGTGGTGGTGTTTGATGCCTTCCCTGTACGTAGGTGGCCAACATTCTTCTACCCCCTTGCGTTTATGGCGCCAACAGAGTGGTGCCCTCTCGTGTGTGCAGGATTCAGTATCATGGAGCTTGGAGGGACTTAGGGACATTTATTCACTCCCAGTATTTTCCAGGTGAGGAAACCTGGACCCACAGAGGGAGGTGACTTGCTCAACAGTCAGTAGGTCGGTGGCAGTGCTGGACCTGACCCTGGGTCTACAGCCCCCTCCCGTGCCTGTGGAATAGTGAAGGGCGTGGGGCCCAGCTTAGCCTAGGGCTTGGGTGCTTCTGGTGGTTGCATCCGGGTTTGAGTCGGGAAACCTAGTGAGGCCCTCTCCTTCCATTTGCCTGAGAATTGTCTGTCTCATCTTGTACCATAGTGGTGGCACTTCTGCCGAAAACAGCTACTCTCTTTAAGATGAAAACGCTATGTATCCAAAAGATTTTCTTTTGGATGTTCATACCCTGGAGCAGGAGGCAGCATTTTGGCTGTTTTGGCCAACAGTGCTGTTTACCGCAATCTGTTTGGGACAGTTTCCTCCAGGAACACCCTCTGTGCCATCCGAGGAGTCTCCACTAGGCCCTTCTCCAGGGAACATGGTCAGGTTGGAACCTGGATGAATGCCAAGAAAAATCTTGTAATTATCTCCACGGTCATCTTCTTGTTCAGACTAGAGAATTTCCGTGAAAATGAACTTTAATTTTCAGTGCCCTGCCTGTTACTACTTGGCATGGAGTTGGCATTACTCACGAATGACATGCACATGTAGAGAACGGGCTGACGACAATAATGGCCAGTGTCTGTTGAGTGTGCCAGGTGTTCTTGTGAGGACTTTATATAAACCAGCTCCGTCGGTTTAATCCTCACAGCAACCCTGTAAGACACAGTAACTGCCCTGTGTCATAGATGAGGACACTGAGGCACAGAGAGGTGAGGGACTTGCCCTTGGCCACGCAGCTCTGTAAGTGACAGAGCCAGGACACAGACCTGGGAGGTCTGCCTGTTGACCCGTGTGGTAGTGGTCACGTAAACTGCAGTGTATGCACACGCTCACTTTCAGTCCCGCTGTGCTCTGTGGTTTTCTCTGTTCGCTCTTTTGTGCACTCGCTGCTGCTCCTGAATTCCTCATGCCCACTAATGATCCCGCAGGCTTTGCTCATGCTGTTTGATTTCCTAAGCTTGAACCATCCCTCCTCCCAATTCTGCACCTGTCAGAACTTTCCCATTCATGTTGGATTGGACCACACGTCTCCAGAAACCATTTAGATCCCCAAGTCAGAATCAGTCTCTTCCCTCCACCCCGGGTCTTGAGCTCTGTATGTCACTGAACTTGCTCTGCCCCAGTTTCTAAAGAGTTGTTGATATGCAGGCCCCTCCCATGTCATTGAAGCACAAAAGCGAGTACCGTGTTATATCCACATCTTTCGCATGGTATTGCTGTAAAATTGCTAGTTAAATAAATGAAAAAAGGAACACCAGCAGTAGTTTTCTTGATTAATAAATTTTCCATTGTAAGTCATGTATAGTTGGAAACTTTTTGTAGAAAACATTTCCAAATTGTGTATGTTTACTGCCTTGTAAAAACAGTCTAGAGAATATAATTGACTGTCTTCAGCAGTAATGAATTTTCAGGGCCTCAGTAGTTTACCGCAAATCAAATGAATTAATTAGCTCGGCACCAGTGATATAGTAGTAAGCAAAATCAAGTTTGATCTCATAGGCTGACATCCCAGAAGTGATGGATGATAAAGTAATAAACAAAGTAATTTCAGCTGGTGATACAGGGAAGATAAAGCAGGGTGATAAGAATGGCTGAGAGAGGCGATTTTAGGATGGGAACTTTGAGTTTGTGACCTGGGATCTCACATGGGGGTGGCACAGTGGAGACAGCCCTGCCATCCGGAGTCGGCTGTCTAGCAAAAGGACCTGCCCGTGCACGGGTGCTACGGCAGGATTCAGTGTGATCTGCGCACATACAGATGAGGCCAGGGTGGTCGGAATATAAGGAGGGAACAGACAGACTGGTTCACAGTGAAGTTAAAGGTCGTTAAAGCCAAATCATAGTTGACCTTGCAGGTCATAGGAAAGAATTTTCATTTTATTATGGGAGGAGTAGGAAGCCATTGGGAGTTTAAAGCAGGGAATGACATAAACCAATAACATTTCAAATATAAGTCCATATATACACGCACAGACCCGATACAATAAATCATCCAACTGGTTTATCTCTCTCGCTGCAAAAGTAAATATTTGAAATTATATTTAATTTAAGGGTCTAGGTATTTAAGGTTTTACTACATACAGTATTTAAAAATTAATGAAATAGTAGCACTTATTTTTCCAATTTCTTGGTTTATTAGGCTAAGTTTTATCAACTTTATACAATACAACAAATACTGATTTCTTCCAAAATGAACAAATATCCTGGTCTTGCTTATAACTTCATGAGCTAAACTCCAGCAGAAGGCCAAGTGGCAGTGCTTCCCAGCACAATCTCTGTGCAGGAAATAATCTTTCAATTATCTTAGGCTGATGACGTGATGTTTTAATATGAAAAATAAAATTGCTTTCTAAGGATAGGTCTCGTATAGTCTGTTTACTCCACTTTTAGGCTTCTTGAGTCACAGGGATCCAACAGGGCACCAGTGGCCGCTGGTTCTCCAGAGTTAATCCGCTCTGTGAGCTCGAGGCCACACCCTACAATTAGAAATTACCCTTGGCAGTGACGGCTATACTTTTGTCATTTGTCCGCGGCTGGGGTTGGCTCCTAGAACCCGATGTGGATGGTGACATCTAGTGGACCTCGAGTAGATAAATTCCGTGGCCTATGAAACGTTAGATTCGTTGTCTAGTGCCAGCTGAGGAGCCAACTCCTTTTTCATCGTCGCCACATTAGAAAATAGGAAATGTATTCTCTGGGATCTAGTCCAGTGTCTCTAAAATACAAAATGAGGAGAGTTAAAACTTAGTTTACTTTTTCTTCCCGTAGACAGAAGATCCAACCATGGAGCGACCCTACACGTTTAAGGACTTTCTTCTCAGACCAAGAAGGTGAGGCGCGAGGGGGCCGGGAGCGGGTGTCTGCCCTGCAGGCTGCGGAGTTCAGTCTTCTCTGGGGACGAGTTCAGCAGTCGCCATAAACGCGAGAGGCATAACCAAGCCATGTCCTTTATAACCAGTTTTCTTCCATCACGCAGTCATAAATCTCGAGTGAAGGGATTTCTGCGACTGAAAATGGCCTATATGCCCAAGAACGGAGGTCAGGATGAGGAAAGCAGCGAGCAGAGGGACGACATGGAGGTAAGCCGCGGCGCTTCCGGCCTCGGCCTGCTTTCCCGGCTGCAGATCGCGTTCATATTTTACTTCCACTTTATAATTGAAGGAAGTATAAGTTCATAAAGCTTAAATACAGAAAAAACTTACACATGTCCGTGAGTCTGTCTTCGATAGTCTACCAGTTACGCTTACCTGCCTTGGCGTAAAGAGATGCGCTTTTCCTTTCCTATCGCGGCACTAGGCACTGAAGAGCTTTCTCTTCAGACAGCGCTGCATCCACCCCTGGGACGGCGCTCCGTGAAATTCCCCTCATGCATTTAATTCCATTACCGCTTCGGACTTTCAGCTCTCCGTAAATCCTTTTAGCACTTGAAGTTGCCTCCAAGTGGATGAGGTGGTTTAGAAAATCTTTTCCAAGTCTCTTACTCATCGGGCCCACAGGTGACAGCCTGCGGTAGAAAAACCCTCCCCTAGAAACGCCATTCTGGGATTAGCTGTCGGGAGGAATTTCCCCTCCTGCCCTCCTGACACCACTGCCCTTCAGCTTTCTGATCGCAGACCGATGCGACGGTCACGTCGTACCTTCTCAGCACATGCCGCAGACGGGGCTGCGCTGTTGGACAGATTCTCATATTGTTCTCAAAGCATCCGTTAGGCAAGGCCTCCCCCGAGCTTGTGCTCACATCTGTTTGCAGCTGTCGCGTATACGTGATACGCGAATGATGTGTCGTGGGCAAGTTAACCGAGCCCCCTCCGACCGCGGGGTCGTATTTCCAGGCAGCATTTCATGCGTGAGCTTTCATCTCTCTACATGCGTGAAGAGGAGTGAAGTGGGTGGTAGGCAGTTATGAATGTTAAGATTTCATGAGCACATCAACAGATTTTTATCTCAGATCCAGGGAATGTTTTACACTCTTCTTGCCTTCCAACTGCAGTAACCAGCGAATTACTGAATTTTCCAGTGATTTTACCAGGGGATGTTAGGAAAGGAATACTTAATGCCTAAAATATGCATTTCAAAAATGTAACTCGAACTCTGGTACCGTGAAGGAAGCCTGTTGGTGCAGAGGCGGCAAGTGTGGCGTGCCTAAGTAGAAAGCCGCAGTCCCAGACTTCTGGCTCCTGTGATTGTACCAGATGCAAAGTCAAAGCTGGCCTCCCTGGGGAGCAGCGGGACCCTGGGCCTCCTGGTCACCTGGGCTGTGATTGCTTTCAGGACACAGGTGCAGTGTGACTCATCTTCCCCACTCCCTTTTACCTCGTGGAGGTGCCGAAAAGGTGACAGCTGTAATGTGACCTGTGTCACTGGCATGGCTTTGTGCAAGCCCTGGAGGCCTTCAAGTCAAAATAACAAACATGAAATATGAGAAAAGTATAACGTGACTTAATGTATAAGTCACTAACCAACTGTGCGTATCCAAATCTCTGTTGCTCCCTGCAATATAGTCATCTTAGAAGGCAGCACAATTGGCCATTGCTCGAAAGATTTGTGAGGCTCCCCTAGAATTGATTTTTTGACCCGATTTGGGGAATTTATTCAAATGTGGCACATGAAGCCATTGCCGGAGCCCGAGGGCCATGGAGCGTGGAAGAAGGAAGGGTACAGAGCACGCTATAATTGTCTCTTCCTCGCATGTGAAGAACCAACACCATAATCTTCCACTGAACTTCATTCCGCAGCACGGGTGGGAAGTCGTTGACTCGAATGACTCGGCTTCTCAGCACCAAGAGGAGCTTCCTCCTCCTCCTCTGCCCCCCGGGTGGGAAGAGAAAGTGGACAATTTAGGCCGAACTTACTACGTCAACCACAACAACCGGACCACCCAGTGGCACCGACCGAGCTTGATGTGAGTACACGCGGTGGTCGGGGACGCACGGTCCTGCTCTACACAGTCAGGTACCAACACGGGGACCCGCCGGGACGGGGCCGGGGAATAAGTCTCACAGCAGTAAGAGCAGGTGGCTGGGTAGCACAACAGGATTCCTCTTCATTTAGGGGAAGAGCACGGGGCCACCCGGGATTTGTGTATCACAAGGAGGAAACCGTTGCCTTTGTATCACATGCTGCTGTTTGAACATGAACCGATTTATTTTGTATGGTTTCCTTATATAGATTCCTGAAATACGGAGCAGAGGTTATTTTTCCTAGATTTCCCTTATGTTTGGTGGCGCTACTGTTTCCTTCCTCTGCAGCTTTCTCTCCTGACTCACCCAGAGTGGAAGGCAGCTAGCGCACTGGCTTTGCAGTTTTCTGTGTTGTTTTTGGATTTTTACTGCTTTTAATTATTTGATTTGGAAATCTTCTGAAAAACTTGTTTTCTTTTTTTGTTTTGGGGAAATTTGACCCCCTTAATATAATTAGAAACACATGAGGGGGTTGCAGACTCAGAATTAGTAATTACTGTTTATTTTAATCCCTCACCAGCCTCAGGGATGCAGTAAATTGATTGCTGTTTTGTTCCCTCCACAGTTTTTGGTTTGATTGATAGCAAATAAACACTAACTAAAGCTCAACTCCTATCAAAATGGTTTTGAAGCAGCTTGTTGTTAAGTCATAATATACAGCAAGACCTCAGCCGAGATGAGGAGGTAGTTACCAATGAATTGTATAATTTTGAATGTGTAATAAAAGCCAAGCATATTAGGTAAGGTAATTTTTTCTTCAACCCAGACTCTAAAATGAATTTGCTAGCGATGCTTTTTTGACAAATGGTATTAGTAGTATGGTGGATGTTCTTAAAAACCCTTTTGTCTGCAGAAATTGCAAAGATATTCTGCATATGATGGTGGATGGGGAGGGCGGCCACGTTGTCTGGCCTAGGTTTGAATGTAGAATTGAAGCTTGCAGATCTGGAACACCGAATAGCCAGTCCTCTCTGAGCCCCCAGTGGAGTCTCGTTAATATTGGCTGTCCTTGGTCAGCTTCAGACTACCCAGCATGGGCTTTAACTCATGGTCCCAGGACAGCATAAATATCACAACATCTGGGTGATGTTAATCTATTTTTTATTAAAATTTTTTCACCTATAGATGTGAATGGAAATGGTTTCGTTGATTTTTCAAATTTTTATTTATTTTTTTCTTTTTTCTTGAGTCAGGATCTTGTCCTGTCACCCAAGCTGGAGTGCAGTGGCATGATCATATCTCACTACAGCCTCCAACTCCTGGGCTCAGGCAATCCTCCCCACTCAGCCTCTTGAGTAGCTGGGACCACAAGCGTGCACCATCACGCCTGCCTAGTTTTTATATTTTCTGTAGAGATGGGGTATCACTGTGTTGCCCAGGCTGGTCTCGAACTCCCGACCTTGAATTGCTGGCCTCAAGTGATCCTCGACCTCCCAAAGTGCTGGGATGACAGGTGTGAACCACTGCACCGGGCCTACTATTTCCTTTTCATTAGTGACCATAGCTATTAAAACTGTTGTAAGCCATCATGGCTATTTGTAGTAAACACAACTTTGGGCGCACCTTGGACTTGGTTTATGTGTAGCAGTCAGAAGAATCTTGGTAGCAGTACCCTAAGCAGAGCACCATTATCTAAACAGCCTGGGAAAGAAATACCTGAAAAGGTAGACTGTGTGCTGACCTCTGCAAAAAAGCGACAGCAACCTACGAAGGAAGAAATACTAATAGCTAATTCACATATGGAAAAGTGTTCAACTTTGTTAATAAGTATCATGCAGATTCACGTCTTTATTTTTGAAACAAATGGGGGATAACTGCAGCTTTCTCTACCACAGTCGTGAAACTCTAATGAGGGAAGACACTTCATCCATCTTTCTAAATATACCTCCTTTGTGATGGTTTCATCGATGTACTTATCCCCAAACTCATCACGATGTACACATTAAATATGTACAGCTTTATATGTATCAGTCAAACCTCAATTAAGTTGTTTTTAAAAAAGATACCATCTTTGGTGGCATCATCCTGAAGCACCAAACTAAAAAGATAAAACTTGGGCAGGGTGCAGTGGCTCATGCTTGTAATCCCAGCACTTTGGGAGGCTAAGGCAGGAGAATCACTTGAGGCCACAAGTTTGAGGCTGCAGTGAGCTATGATTGCACCACTGCACCAACCTGGGAGACAGAACCACAGCCTGTCTCTAATAAAAAAAAAAAAAAAAAAAAAGTAGTAGTATAACTTTTATGATGCTGGCTCATCCTCAGCCCAGAAACAACAACAGAAAAATGCAGTTCTTAATCCAAGTTCAGGTTCACATGTAGTTTAGGGAGAAGTTAGTGGCATGACTGTCCTCATCAGCAAGGCAACAATGCCAAAGGGAGAGGCTGAGCCAGGAAGGACGTCAGCAGAGCTCAAGTGGAACGCAAGGAGTGACTCCTTTTCAATGGGTGTGACTTCTAGAAAGCGAGAAAGAGGAAAAATCTCTTCGTCCCATGTGAACTGTTTACGAATTTGGGCCGCTGCTTTCTTCTGAACTTTATTTGCCTTGGCCAGAAGCCCTTGATCCTCCCAGATTTATTTTTGAGAATTGTTTGAATTCAAGAGTAATTTGTTTCACAATTCAGTTTTTACAGAACGCCGAAGCACCCTTTGGAGGAAAATTGATATTGTCAGGAAGTATTTTTATTAAAAGGCTCTATCCTGCTGAGAAGCAGATGGTGATAACCATGAGCGAAGCAAAGAATTAAGACCGTCTTGGTGACTCACTCTGGCCCAATTTGCCATGGTCTTGTGTCCCACACTTTGGCCCACTGCAAATGGGGTTTTGTGTTGTCTTGGACTTCATGTTGTTCTCAGGACGTTCGTACGAGGTCCTTGTTCACCCTGGTCCCTTCCTTTCTAGACATGCTCCCCAGAGCCATAAGCATGCCGTTCATTCCATGGTCCCACCATGCACAGCTGCGTTCCCCTTGCTTTCTCTTGTTCCCGAGTCCTGTGGGCATCGTAATACTCCTTCCCCCAAAAATAAAAGGCAAAAACCTAGAGCACACCCGTACTCCTGGCTAACTCAGAGGTCTCAGCTAGGAGGCCTTCCCCTGGGCATCCGCACCTCCTCTGTCCAGGTCTCCCCCAGCCTGGCCTGGAGCACAGAATATTCTAACTGCCTGTTTGGGCTGGGACCATGTTTTCTTATTCACAGATCTTCCCTCCTGCCTGGCACAGAGTAGGGGCTCAGTAAAATACATTTCAAACAGCTGAAGATGTAAAATGAGCCCTTCTGAAAGTGATTAGGACCACGTGGTTTAGTGAACTGCTTGGGCCAGGTTTGGGCCCAGACTCTGAATTTGAGAACAGAGGGTAACCTTAGAAGAACTCCAGGCCCCTCAAGTCTGGTGGCGGCTTTTAGAACACCCCTAGGTTTAGTTTTGTCCTTATCTTCTTTAAATGTAACCTGTAAACTTTTTGCTGTAAAAAGCACAATTTTCAAAAAATAAGCTGAAGAAAGTATGACATTCTGTAAATGAAGATGAAATTGTTAAACTCAAACGCTTTTTTAAAATCCTTTTGATTATAAAGCACTCTGTACATCTTCTTCTGACTTAGTAATTTAATTGTATCTGGATAACTCAGGTCCTCATGCCCTAACACACTGTGAGTATAAACGGCTGGACACACTGGCCTCAGTTGGCGCTGAACTTGATTTCTTGATAAACTGATTTTTTTTTTAAATTATTATTTGTGTATTTCCCATAAAAGTCAAATGAAGAATGTATATGTGAAATTAATAACTGAAGAAAAATTGAAGTAGCCACTTCTTCAATTATCTCCTTGCCCCCAATAAAATATTTTTCTGTTTTAATTTGTCAGCTCAGAAATATTTTAAAATGGTTATCTTCCCATTAGCTCACTGCGATCTTGATCTGGGCTCAAGGGATCCTCCCACCTCAGCCTCCTGAGTAGCTGGGACTACTGGCTGGTCTCGAACCCCTATCCTCAAGTAATTCTTTGGCTTCAGCCTTCGTGCTGGGATTACAGGCTCCAGCCACTGGGCCCAACCCCCATTAGTGACTACTTAAACTTCTAGTCCGTTTTAACAACTCTCACTCACTTGTTTATTAATTAAATGCAAAAGCCTCCCTTGTGTGAACATTATCATATTATCACTTAAGACCATAAAAGCCCCTGGTTGGAATTTCACAATCAGAGGTATCTTCTTATGCTATTTAGTTGTTTCTGCTTCATACTGGTTACTAATTATTTGAGCACGTTGGATAAGGAAGATTGACATAATTAATTTTACACATGCCCTCTTTTTTTCTTATCCTCTCAGAGTAATGGAATTCTATATACTTCTAAAGGATGTGAGATGCAGACATAGTAATAGCAAAGCTTTATTCTTCTCAGCCTGTCAGAAGTCATCGTTAAAATTCAAGTAGTGCAGTATTAAGCACCTCATGTAGGACCTCACACATAGTAGGTCTGCAAAGGTTAGTCCCTCAGTGTTGACTGAATAAAAGCCATGACTGACATTTTAAGGGAAGATTTCAAATTTTGATGAAACTCTTGGATATAAAATATTTTCAAGTGAGGCCAATTATTATAAAGTGAAATTGCGTTCGTCCTTAATTAAAAGTGTTACAGGATACCAAACAGCGTCTTCTGCCTTAGACACTACTGAAATGGTTTACATATTTCATAAATGTATTTTGATCATTTTCCTTCCAAGTTTCATCCTGTTCTATAATAATGTATGGTTTTTATAATCATTGTATGCTTAAGAATTAAATATCATAAAAAGGACTACAGTAGCAACATAGAATCACACATACGATATTACGTTTTTCTAACATTTCCAACAAAGTGCCATTTTTAATGATTCTATTTTTGTGGTTTCAGAAGTTTTATTAGTATCCTTGTGCATCCCTTTGTTTTATTTTCTCTATGGCCATAGTTAATGTCAGTTTTTCTGAAGACACGTCTATTGTACTATTTTAATCGTTGTAGTTTAATGTAACTAGATATGTAGAATATATGTTTCTGTTAGAGTCCAAAATTTTGTATTGGATGTGCAAATACATAAACACTTCACTGATTGAGACTTTAATAAGGAATTATAATTTAAATGTGGATTAAATGGAAGCTAACCTTCACACTATTGCCTTTACTAATCAAGTTAATAGTATAAAGGTATTTAATGGAAATACTTAAACAATTTTGGAAACTGGTGTTAAAGAGCCACCTATTTATTTGCAAGCAGTGTTGCGACTTGCAGACTATTTGCTACCACAGGGGCCTAGAAAGTTCCCTAGTGGGACATAGTATAAGTTAGTTTGAGAATGTGTTAGAAAACTTTAAAATTTATTTTATAGAAAGAGTCTATAATAAAGGCTCTTGATTAATACTGTATTTAATCTGAAACAATATTTTCAATTATTTTGAGATACTAACTTTTGGCCTAATTTTTCTTAACTGAGTATGGTGTCTTACTGAAAGTAACCATGAGAGTTTTCTCTGAAAAACATTTTAGCATTTCAACTTCTACCATAAAAGCCTCGACTAGTATTTCCCCTAAAGATGATTGTCTGTAATTTACTGCAAAAAAGTTTTCAAGATCAAATTGATGCTTTCATGTCCCGAATTTTGAGCATTATATGACAAAAAATAGGGTACGATGTTGTAGTGTTCTTCAAATCCCAGTTGACTTGGGAAGTTATCTCCTGAGGTTTATTTGGATTTTTAAAAGTAGATTAAGGTGGGAAATGCAATGTTGCAATTCAGTCAAAACGAAATAGAAAGCAGCTGAGAATGTTCTTGTTGGATCAGGAGGAGGACTTCCCCCTAGATAGCATCTTTGCATTCATACTGTTTGTAGGTTTTGGTCAATTGTGGGTGACCAAAAGTAGCTGCCTTGTGATTACCAGACCCCAGGAGGGTGGGGACTGACTGGCTGTGGTGTGACCTCGCCTGTCACCTCTCCTTGCAGAGGCCTCATTTGTCACTGTGGCAGATGGGTGGAGAACTTTGATTTCTTTCTAAAATACTAAAATATGTTTTGAAATATATGCCTGAAAGATGCTCAAAATGTTGCAACTGACGCATTTAAAAACTGCGTTTATTTGACTCAAATGGACCTGGCATTACACTTAAGCCGAGATACGGTGGACGAGTTCTCGTACTCAGTGGCCCGCCGGTGGTTAGTGTCGGACGCAGACGTTCTCTGGGGGGTGGGCCCTTAGTGAGCCCGGAGCTGTCGTGAAGGACTGGTTCTCAAGCGCTTCTCCTCTTCTCCCCCCTCACCTCTGCACGCTCAGGGACGTGGCCTCGGAGTCGGACAACAACATCAGGCAGATCAACCAGGAGGCGGCCCACAGGCGCTTCCGCTCGCGCAGGCACATCAGCGAGGACTTGGAGCCCGAGCCCTCGGAAGGTGGTGATGTCCCTGAGGTATGACGTCCCCAAGTGCTGCCAAACCCTGCAGCTCTTTCTTTCCATGTTCTCCAGGTTGATTTCGTGTGGCAGTTTCTTCTCTCAGTCAATGTTGTCGAGAATGTAAAGATTGTGGTCTCACAGTGAATTGATTACCATCTGGATGTTAATTAATTCAGAAAGTGCTTATAAAAACCATGTTTGATAAGTACTTATGGCTCTACATTATTACAAAAATAAATAACATGATTTTTAGTATGAAAATCTAAAGATATTTTCACTTGGTAATTTATTCCCCCCGCCCCCGAGTCTAACCATAGAAACTTCTCCATCAGCACTTGCTCATTAAGTGATAACATGGGGTATCATATTTGCACAATTAAATGAGCCCTATAACTTGTTTGGGCATGATATACAAGCTTTTACTGAGTTGTTTTGGCACCTTAAAAGAGATTTACTACCAAGAAAATACGAATTTGGGTGAATAGAAATGTTTGTAATTTTCCCTTTAAATGGGTGTAGTAAATCAGTGAAAAAAAAGTATGAATTAAACAACAGATTAGCAATAATTTTAACTTCCATGCTGTCTTATCATCTCTGTTTACTTACTAGAAATCCATTCTTTTCAGACATTGTGTTAAGAAAGATGATGGTTCACAAATGTTGCAGTAATCAAAATCAGGAAAGCAAAATTAATGATTCCATAATAAATTCACTATACATTACTTTACACCAGTATTTAATTATAGCTTATGGTATCTGTGCTGCGTTCATTGTGAATCTCTAGCAGTTGGAGTAAAAGAGAATCCATGAAAATCATTTATAAACTCCCGAGAAGGGTTTTTTAGCCCGCGCGTGTGGTAGCAAGCGCGGGAAGCAGTCACTGCACACAGAGGTGGTATTACTAATATAAAGCGGGTAAGGGCGCAGCCTCTAGAGCCAGGCTGCTCGTACACGTCGTGGCCCTGCCACTTACCGGCTGTTCCTTTGGGCAAGTTACTCTCTGTGCTTCGGTCTCCTCATCTGTTAGTTGGGGTAGTCGACACATCTTCCTCGTGATTGTTGGAAAGACTGTGTGCCTCGTAAGCACAGTAGACGTTAATTATAGTCCTCATAATGGTTATTGTTGTTGTATGTTTCTGTTGGGGAGGAAGTGGGTGGATCTCCAGGTCCTAGCATTTACCTCAGTGTCTCGTTCCCCAAAAGCCTTGGGAGACCATTTCAGAGGAGGTGAATATCGCGGGAGACTCTCTCGGGCTGGCTCTCCCCCCACCGCCCGCCTCCCCGGTGTCTCGGACCAGCCCTCAGGAGCTGTCAGAGGAGCTGAGCAGAAGGCTTCAGATCACTCCGGACTCCAATGGGGAACAGTTCAGTTCTTTGATTGTAAGTAGTGAGCTTGTGCAAAAGAAAAGCTAAGCAATATTTTATCAGTTTTTGTTGCTTTAGGAGAATCTTGTATGCAAATAACAACCCAGGGTCTTCCGTTCCCAGTTAACTCTGACATTTTCCAAAGTTCGTCCTTCCCTAGAAGAGGAAGGACTGTACTAAAATTAGCCCAAGCAGGTGAGACTATTTCTTGATTTGGAAGGCAGCTATGCCCACCCTATACCACTAACACTCTTTCTTGGTTTATAAAGAACCCAAAGGAATAGATTCCATGATTTCTGTTATTATTAGCTTGAACCTTGTAGAATTTCTTTCCCAGCCAAAGTCTCATAAAAATAGTTCCTTCATCACAAAGCTAGTATCTTATAGAAGAAATTAAGAGCCATGGGGCCTCCTAATCAGTGCTCTTAAGCCACACTCTGCATGCTTCATCATTCTCAGCTCACAGATGAGGGCTGGCGTTCAAGTGGCCCATCCAAGACAAGATTTGAATGGGAATAGAAGACATCTCCTAAGTCCCAGAGTATGAACCCTTAAGAAAGGTTGTGAAATCGTGACACTGACATCAAGGTAGCATTTGAACTTGGGTTGTCAACCATCATAGAAATACACAGAAGCTTCAGGTGGGACTGAGCCCCAATGAGAAGCAGCAGAATCAGCGATGAAGACCTGCACATTTGACAGTACAAAACTGTGCAGAAATATCCCAAAGAAAATGCCTGCTTGTGCATAAAATTAAGAGCAAATGCAATCTCAGTGTTTCTCAAGAAATTGAACTTAAACATGTACTATAATAAATATGATAGTCACTCCACTGACAATGGCATCCTAGAAAAATTAGTGATTATTATGACCATATCAAATGCGAGTGATAAGAGGACTACATAAAGTATGAAAGCAAGTAAGTACTCACAAAGCTGTTGCTCCTTCGATTATGGTGTTTTTATTTTTAAAGACACCATGGGGACCTTTTATGTGAGTTGCAGTGATTACTCAGTTAATGTGAGTAGTAATGAAAATTCGGCAAATATTTTTCAAAAAGAGAAATACCACTGAAATGGTATACTCCATGGAAATGGAGTATTAGATAATATAAAAGAGATTGCATGTGTGAAATATTTGAATTGGTAAAACTATTGCTATGGAAACAACTTAAGCAATGAAGCCCTATATTTAAAACCTATAAACACAAGGAAGTACCACAGAAACCATAGCAATTACAAACCTTTAGTCAACCAAGTGAAAAACATCATAGTTTTCTTCAGCAGTAGGGTAGCACTTCTAGTTATTTGTATGGGGAGCTCCTGCATCTAATTATTCTAGATGCATGAAATAGCCTCAAGACCCACGTGCAATGTTGTACTACTTTCCCATTGTGTTGAATGTCAAACGAGAGTGTTGACTATGGGACTCTTCTCCACTTTCACTGTATCCAGATCACTCCAAATTCAAGGACGATAGCACGAACTTGTACTAAAGAGTGACTCCATCATCCAAACCATTGTAGGAAGGCGTGGACTGTCCCCCAGCCCCACCAGACTCTTTCCTGGACCTTATCCCATTTTACTTACCATTGCAAAAATTAGCAAATGCTACAAAGATGCACCATTAATTGGTGAATCTGCTAATAGGAGACGCAGCTTCTGTGTGTGACCTACTGCTGATCTTTCTTCATAATCTGTTAGGCTTTATTTAACCACATGGACTAATACCAACAAGTGGGAGGAACGTTATACACTAGATTTTTTTTTTTTTTTCAGATTGACGTCACTGTTTTCACTCATTGCTATCCTTATTACTTGAACTCCACTCAGAAGCTAAAATTATAAATACCTGATCTTTCAGAAGTAGGACAAGATGATATCTGAGTTCCTCCGGACATGGAATCCAACTGATTCTTGGTCAGTTGTAACAGTCAGGTTTAATAGCCACATATCACTGTTTCTTCCTCTTTTTTCCTCTATTCCTGGCACATTAGAATTTACTCAGATATTGCATCCCACAGCAGAATTCAAGACTGCTAACTCCTGGTTTCTGTCTATAAAGCAGCACCAGTGCGTTGCAGGGCCCTACTGAGTCTCCTTTCTGAAAGTTTGGGTCTCCTTCTGCATTTTTGCCAGTAATTCTAAGGAGCAATCAAAATTCCAGTCTCTTTAAAACACCGTGAAAATTAAAGTGGAAGATAGTTTGACTTTCTATAAAGGATGGCTCTCATTGTTCCGAAAAGATGTTTCATTTAGTTTCCTCCCAATGTTGAAGAGGGATGCATAGGATTGAGTGATGTATTTGTCAAACCAATGAAACCTGTTTCTGAGAGTATGTTTCTTGTTGCTTCCTGTCTTCTCCTCCCCTTCAGCAGAGAGAGCCGTCCTCGAGGTTGAGGTCGTGCAGTGTCACGGACGCAGTTGCAGAACAGGCCCACCTACCACCGGTAACCTACGCTAATTTCCAGTCATCGTTTGGCTTTTTCGGCACTTACGTAAAATCATCTGGGCTGCTGTGAAAAGAGTTCTTCCTGTGCAAATCCATTTACCATATAAATGAGACATTTTAAAATTTCCCAGCAAATTGCCCGAGAAGAGTGGATTTCCAATACAAAGAATTGTCATTGTCACCAAAGTCTCTAAAATGCTAGAATTTTCATTGCTTTAGTTTTTCACCCTAATTTATACCAATTTTGATGTGCTTACTTAAACTACGTGGTCCATTAATCATACCTTGTACTTTACCCGGTTACTGTAGCTGTGCTACAGTGATTGTACTCGGAAAACACGGTGAATACACTGAATGCCTTTACACAGGAAGAACTCTAACGGGTAGCTAGCCACGTGTTCCTTTCCATACCAGCGACCTGAACTCCTAACTCCACAAAGCCTCTGTACCTTCTCTTTAAAGGCAGCTCTATTGACCAAAGAATCAGCTACAGTTTTTTCCAACTCCTCCATCATTTTAATAGCTGTCAGCAAATTTAGAAGCGTAAGGGATGTAATAACATCCAGTATAGAGAGAAATAAATATTCACATTGGAAGGCAGACCAGAACTGCCTTGGGACATGTTTGATGTATGCATTAAAAAAAAGAAATTTTATATAAGTTTGTTTCTTCTTTTGGAGGTGAAAATATTTGTGGTTTTAATGTGTTCAATTTGCTATTTGACCTTGACCAGTGTTTTTTATTGCTGCAAAACCTTGATCATTTTTGTGATTAATACTTAATTATGTATGAGTTTGAGGGACGGAAAAGTGCATTTAAGGTTTTTGAAATCACGATGTCTTCCCTCTAGTATACATGTTTGCTTGGCTTCAAAGGATATTTTCGCCTAGGTTTTAGTTTCTTGTGTTTAAAAAAAATGAATTAATGAGAATACTAGTCAAGTAAATAGATTGAATTGTGACTCACCCCAGATAAACTGGTGAATAATAAGCTTGACAAGAGCGTCCTTTCTGGGATGGTTTCAGGACAGCCCCCACCCCCACCCCCCACCCAGAACAGAACAATCATCTGGGGTGGGCGGGATCCTTTTCAACCTGATGATTCGGTGATTTTCCTTGAATGAATGGCACTTTCTCTCTCTTTCAAAATTGATACCAATTTTATTTGCCAAAGAGCTCACTTTCCTGGAAACTGATGATTTCTCCTTTATACTCGGTGATGCTATCGACTCACTGATCACCAGTGGCCTCTCGAGTTTTGAGTGCGGCAGATGTGAGAATCTGCCAATTATTTGACAGTGGGGTCAGAACCAGACCGGTTTTCATTTTTCCCGGATGGGACATCTCACTTTGTTGAGGTTGTCATTTTTCACCCAGATCCAGGATGCAGCCTCAGCCGCCTCAGGGTGGCTTGGGGTGTGTGTGTGGTGGGGGGACGGTCATGCTTCCTCTCTGCCACTGGTCATCCGTGACTGCCCAGCTCGGTTTGGACAGGGTGGGTTTCAGGGATTCTGATCTCACGTCGCCTGCCTTTCCACACTGCCACCGCAGTGACTCTTGATTCAGTAAGCCAGGGGCCGTCCCCCAAGTGCATTTCACTGATGCGAGTTGTCATTTACAGCCCAGTGCCCCAACTAGGAGAGCACGGTCATCAACTGTCACAGGTGGTGAGGAGACAACGGTAATGACACTTACTTTATCAGACATTCATGACAAAAGTGGACGCAGTTGTAATATTTTGTGCAATGGTGAATATTCTCTTTTAAAAAATAAGACCAGTTCCTTTGTACTGTAGATCTGCATGTTTCTTATTTTAAACTTCTCATTTTGGGATTGTTGAAAGGTACTGGATAAAGTAGAATGATTTTCAGTCCCATGTAATTTTGTTAGGAATACTGGCAGGCCTTAGTTAAGTGTGTTTAATTTGACCGTTTAGAATATATTTTTGCCTTTTAGTGTTCGTACTCCTGATAAGCTTTTCCTTTTTTATTAGAATGCTTGGTTAAAATAATTTGGTTGTAAGACAATCAGAGAAGCCACAAGAGTCGCATGAGGTTGTATGTGTGATTCCCAATTGTGCACAGAGCTGTTCTCTCCACGCCACATTTCTAACAGGGGATTAGACTTTCTGTGTCTCCAGCGTGAACCAGTGACCTTTCTCTGCCACCAGGGGCTCCACGCACAGAAATGAACAAGTGTTCATACCATTCTGGGGTGGGAAGCATAATTACGATATTTAAGTGGTCTAGAAATATCGGTGTTTCTCCAAACCATCTATTATTATTATGCATTATTTTGAATAATTTATAGCATTCATGTTTGTGGGTAACTTATATTTGACTGTGTATTTTAATTGCCTGTTTTCTACTTGATCCCCAAAGCCAGACTAGCTTCTGGTCTATGCTTTGAGCTGCTGTAACTATTTGAAGAATTTCCTCATTGTTTCACCTTTGTTGCGTTTGCTGTAACTGCTCATTACTTGTGAATAACTTTAACTACATATACAATTGCTGATTACCTGGAGGTTGGTGATTTACAGGAACAATTTAGTTATATTGTTAGAACTTAATGCTTAGTATTATACAGAGGAGAATCAAATTGGCAATCAGTGACAATCAGCTTAGTTTAAGGTATTGAACTACAGTCGCTTATGTGAAATTCATGTGTTGGGTGAGCCAGCCTCCAGAAAAATTCAAGGGGCTCTAAATTAACTAGCATATTTCCTACTGTGCATTAGTAATTTCTATGGGAGCAGCAGAGCTGCAAGATAGGCAAGATCATTTCATGAAATAATTTCAGTAGAATTCAGTGCTGATGAATATCCTCTCTGTATCACCTATTTTTACATTTTATTGGCATTGCAACCTGCTTTTAGCTTTGGAGTGTTGTGATATCTGATGTAGTAAATGAAGGATAAATCAGTTATCATAGTACCAGGCTCTGTGGTCAGAGTTACCTGGCAGGACCAGGTGCTCTATCTGAAGGAGATCCCATGTGGCTCTTGAGACCACACTTTTCTTGCCTTCTTGCTTATACTCTCCCCTCCCCATCACTGAGTTAAAATGTGGGTTTGCTTTCTTTTTTGATTTTGTAAGACTTGGCCATAGGAGCTCCTACTCTCAGGAGTCGCTTTCTGTGTACCTAGATAGATTTGCAAGGATCACATCTGTTTCTCTTCTACTGTGTCCTGAATGTTTCTCTTCCATATCCTTAGTCATGAATGCCCTTGACCTTCTCTCTTCCAGCTGTCTCTTAACACTGCTTTTCCTTCTTTGACACCCTCTCCTCTCTATATCACTCCCTGCTGGAACTACCCTGGGATGTATCATCTCCCTCCCCGTGCTCTCACAAGCATACATGTGTATACACATGTGCACACATTGTGCTGCTTTCTGCTATTTTAGGAAATTTGGATGTCATGTACAATTATTCAGCAACTTGATTTTTTTTTTATTTATGGCCATTCTTCTGGGACATAGGAACAATTACATAATGTTCAGTGATGTGAATACACCACAGTTTATATAATTTTTGCATATTGAAGGGCATTCAGCCACCCCCCGCCTCCAGCCCACCCCCACTCCGGCTCTCTGCACTGTGTTGGGTGGCCATCCTGGCATACCTATCTTTCCGTGATAGCGATAGTGCCTTCATTCTTGCTATAGTATTAATATGATGAACAGGCCCTGATTCTCACCTGAGAAGCCACAGTCCTTTGATCTATGGCAAATAAATGCACATGGTGTCACTTCCCAGCAGGCTAAGCCAGGACCCTCTCTCTGAGAGACGGAAGGAGAGGGACAGCACAGTCCTTTCAGTCTTCACTGTGCATGTTGTAAAACGTCCAGAGGCACCAATGTGGTGAGTCTTGGAGAATCTGTGATGGTCAGTGTCACAGTGGCTATTTTTAAAAGCATTTTGAAACACTGACAATTTAGTAATCAAGTTCTTTATTTTAACGAAAGTAATGCAGCCACGCTGAAGCTCTGCTTAATGCCTGTTTGGCATCGTGAAACAGTAGTATTTTCAGTCTACAGAGGAAAGCTGTGAAATGTTAAGCTAACTAGCAGTTTTTAACTTGTTTCTTGATCACTTGTTTCTTGAGATACCATGGAATTTGCACATTAGCGCAGAGCAGAAGTCTGATTGTGGCTGCAAGGCCGGCCCCTGCCGTGGTCTGTCTCTAGAAGCTGTGTCCTGCCCCCCTCACTAGCCGTGTGGGGTGGGAGGCGAGGTTTTGAGTCACAAACAGAATCGGCAGCACAGGTTGTTCTACATGCTCATTTGGAGAGAACACTGTTAAAAAAAAAACATTTTGGGAACACCATCACACGTAAATGTAACTAAATTGTAGGTTGCCGGTTCAATTCTCGGTAAAAGGGAGAATAAATATTTTAATCAAATCAAATGTTCTCTACTTATACTCCTAATTTTTCATAAACTGATTAGTCCTGTTAACTGTGGATCTGTGAAAGGAACCTGGTTGCTGGAATTGATACAGCTTTAGAATTCAATTCTGAGATTATCTATGACACATCCAAGTTATCAATCTGCCACATAAATATCCTTCCCAGGGTGCTAGAACTGAGTTTTCTGAAGTCGTATCTAATTTTCTCTCCCAAAAAGTAGCTCAACAGGGAGGGAGGAAAAGTAACAAATTCCATTTAGTATTCCATTTGGCCAAAACATTTTTGGCCAGTCACATAAACAATAGTAGGTCAAAACGTGATAGCTCATAGTTTGCCAAAAGTACTAATTGACAACTAACTGAGGTTACAACTTGGGTTACTAACTTAGTTCAGCAGAGTAGATTTTTTAAGTGTCCAGATCAAAGTATCCTAGAGATGGCTCTTTTGTGTCCGTGTCACAGCTAGAACAGGGTCATGAGGAAAGGGCTTCCTTCGGGCTGTACTCTAATAATCTGCCTGTAGCTCTCAGGAAGGGATTAAGTCTGTGTGTTGATATTTCTTCTGCTCTTGTTGAATCTCTACACCTGGGTCCAGAAGATTGTATGGTCAGAGTCTTGGAACTATCTTTATGGAGCCTTTAGGATATCATCTAGAAAAATGTCAAGGAAATGGTTGCCGCATTTTTAGCAGGAAGTTTAAGTGCCAATAATCTAAAATCAGCTGCCTCATGATTGATTACGAAGTTAATTTTTCCCTGAAATGTACTGCTAGGCTTATGAAGTAGAATATCAGATCTCTTTAGGTGGAGTCCCCAAATCACCTGGCGGCATCCTTGTTGGTGCTTTCTCTAATTTGAGGTCCTAAGGGCCACTGAATGACCTTTTTCACCAAGGCACATTGTTGATAGTGAACAGAAGAGATACCGTAAGTACACGAAGAAGTTGGGTTAAGAGGAAATGTATATCCTCCACCTAATATCAAAACAACACCTGCTAAAATATCTAGAGGGTAAGGAGAACCTCCTAATTAGGGAAGGGAGTACCCCAGAATAACCTCACATAATAGGTTATTCCTAATGTTTGGGCTCCTGTTTCTTTCACATTCTCCCAGGAGCCTCAGTGCAGCTGTGATTGGCAGATTGTTTCTGAGCCCCTGCCCACACAGAGCACTCTTTCCCAGACAGAGATCTTATATGCAGCACCTGTGTATCCAGAACTTCCTTGGACAGCCCTGATCGCCAGCATCCATCCCAATGCCTCTGCAAATCATTGACATTTCCCTGCTATTCCAATATTTCTCCATCCAGACTGCATTTCTCAGACTGCTTATAGGCGAAAGTGTCTCAGGCATCCTTCTTTTGATCCCATTTGTACAATACAAATATAGTCACTCTACACTGGTCATGTCTCAAACACAGAGACTGCCAATCTCTGACCGCCCTTCAGAGAGACACACTGTCAGTGGACTGGGGTCACCCCAGCCTCAGGTGCAAGGCTCCTTTGGAATTCTTACCTTAGGTGGCCAGGGGACTGACTCCCTGAGCTGGGGCATGCAGATGACCTGGGTGGTCCTAAGGATTATTTGCCATCATGTGACTGTAGGCTTCCTAGAGAAGGGGCTCTGTGTTGGGTTTTTAATTTTTGCCCTGACAGCTATAGTGTAAGATCCTAAGCTGATGGAGAAATTTAGGACTAAGCTAGGAGAGCCCCCCCACCCATGGCAACTAAATTGAGGAAAAAACATTTGGAGCATCCCTCTTATAGATGGTGACACTGGACAGTTTGAAATACTTTTAAGCTCTACCCAGTTTGGCAGTGAAATTTAGTAACTAGAATGGATTATAATGTTTTCTCTTTCTTAAAAACACCTTAGCAATGACCCTTTACGTTTAAAGACTACTGGGTCTTAGAACTGAATTCTGTAAGAATTTGGGACCCGCAACCTTGTGGGGTTCATCTCACAGTAGATTTAAAGCTATTGCAAATCTGTTGCTGTTTTCCAGACACTCTTGAAATGTTCTCTGTACAGATAGAATTAATTTACTTTGTCTAGAATAATGATCTAGGTGTACGTGACTTTATGAAACTGATTAGAAAACAAATGCAAGTTATTAAATAATGATTTCTTGCACAAACAGCCATCAGTGGCCTATGTACATACCACGCCGGGCCTACCTTCAGGCTGGGAAGAAAGAAAAGATGCTAAGGGGCGCACATACTATGTCAATCATAACAATCGAACCACCACTTGGACTCGGCCTATCATGCAGGTACGAAGATCGCCATACCACTTAAAATCGCAGGCCCTAGAAGCCAAAGTGTACATGCCCTTCTTCTGTTCCTTATGTTTATGAACTGTTCTCAGAGACCCATGTTTAAAGAAAAAGCTTTTTCACAATGAAAATGCATTACTTTAAGAATAATAATTGCTTAAGGTAGAATTTGTTCCTTAAATCATTCTGTCCCTGAGTATGGGACATGAAAGGTGTTTTCGAAGCAAGAGCCTATCACAATGTGTAGCTTCTCCCTCAACCAACCCCTGCCTTTTATCTGAGGCTAGTTTTTATGCGGGGCTAGTGATTCATTTTTTATTTCCCTTGAATGTGTTTCCCCATCCTTTCCCCCATTATTATGTTTAATTATTTCCTCCACGCTTTAAATAGGCCAGACCTCTTATTATTGCTGTTTGTGTTGTTGTTTGGGTTCACACTCCTAATCACACACACAGGGAGATCCTGCCATGAAGCTAACTTGTTTTTGCCTCCAAAATAGCTTGCAGAAGATGGTGCATCTGGATCAGCCACAAACAGTAACAACCATCTAATCGAGCCTCAGATCCGCCGGCCTCGTAGCCTCAGTTCGCCAACAGTAACTTTATCTGCCCCACTGGAGGTGAGAAGGCTACATCATCTACCTGGGGTCACTTCTGTCCTGTGACTTCTTCTCATTCTTTCTTCTCTCTTAACTTTGACTTCCGTTTTGCAGCCACCCTCCTCTCTGATCAGTCGTTGTGTTGGTGGTGAAGGGTGTTCTTGTGCGGCCTGACTACGTGCTTCTCTGTCTCACCCAGTTAACATTGCCGGACTCTCACCCAATTCTCATTCTCATTCGGCTGAGGCCGTGGTGACTTGTGCTGGACGTGGGCCCTCTCTTTTCGGAACTTTCACCATTCTCATTGTGTTTTGCTCCTTACTGCCTATTACCTCATTAGAATCGCATAATAACTCTTTCAAATACTCAGTGCTTATATTCAGTTTCAAACATAGCTGTTGCTTTGACCATTTTTTATTTTCTTTCGACTGCAGGGTCTTTCATTGTATGGGCATATGTGTTTCCGATGCGTATTTGCATCTCTAAATCATGCTGGGCATCCGCTTGTGCTCTCTGTCGTGTTTGTGTTGTTTTAGTGCCATCCTTTAACATCACAAATGTCAGAGAGTTAGAAAAGCCAGAGAGTAAACGTTTGGGGTCCTGAAGCTGCCTGTGTCTTAGTGACAGCTGTGGGTGTCTCCATGCCCTGGGTCAGGATGCCGATAAGTGGGAGTGGGTGATCTCTCTTCCAAACTCTAATATAAACGTCATGGGTAACAACTGTGAGATTCCAGGTGGTTATGTCCATGATATAGGTTTCTCTTTTTGTGCTCTAAAACTTGCCAATCTATTCTTCGTTAGATTGTGAGCTCATTAAGAGCAGGGGTACATTTTACTCCAGTCTCTGTAAAATCTCCATCCATAATGCCAAAATACAGAACAGTAACTTTGGTACGTACTGAGTGGCTACCAAAGGATGGTGGTTATAAGTACTTAATATGGTTGTATGTTTAACCAACAGAAAAAAGAAAAAGTTAGACTGACTTAAAAGTAAATGAGTGACAGGTGTTGTAGGAGCTTCCCCTGTGTCCCTCCCCAAAGAGGAGCATTCTACAATACCCGGGTACATTTTGACACATCGGAATAGCACGTGACAAAGAGTTCTAATGCTCATTATTATTCCTTAGGGTGCCAAGGATTCACCCGTGCGCCGGGCTGTGAAAGATACCCTTTCCAATCCACAGTCCCCACAGCCATCACCTTACAACTCCCCCAAACCACAACACAAAGTCACACAGAGCTTCTTGCCACCCGGCTGGGAAATGAGGATAGCTCCAAACGGCCGGCCCTTCTTCATTGACCATAACACAAAGACTACAACCTGGGTAAGGCTTGCTGCTTTTATTTGGCTCCATTTTCATCGCGACGTCTGGCATTAATTCCTTTATGTCCTTGCTCAGTAGTCATCGTTCTTGCAGAGGAATTTCATTAACTCTCAGATGTATCTCCAGAAGGTCTCTGAGCCTGCACCTCGCCTCTGCGGGTGTGCGCTGGTGGGAGCGGTGGTACAGGCACGGGCCGATAGCTGTCTTTGGAACGGGTGCCAGGTCGCACTGCCTTTGCTCATAGCACTCCTGGCAAGCTCTAGCCTAGATCATTTGCCACATTTGGGAAAAAAAGGTAGAAGTCCATATTGCTAGGATTTTGATGTTACGGCATCACATCTCTTCCTGGATGTATTGCAAAGTTGGTAACAAGAGAAAAAAAGAAAAAACACATCTCATGACATAATTTCATTAGAAATTATAATCATTTTGTCAGAGAATTTTTTCTTCATCATTTTCTTTTTGCATTTTTATTGGCATTATCCATCTTCATTTGATCTGTCCCTTTACTTTTTGCTGTTCACATCAGATTGGTGTTTCACACTTCTGTTCTACACATTCATTGCTTTCATCGGGGGTTAGGAGATATACTGAATGACTTTGGTTGTAAATCTGATAGCTCTTTTTTGTGAACATTTCGTCAGAATTGATTTTTCTTACCATGCTGCTTTTTCATGTGCTCCTGAGTCATACATAAGAAAGAATCTGTGTGTTGAATTAACTTGGGCAAAGTGGGATTAACCAAAGGTGAATATGCGTGTCTTTGTGTGTCTCTGTCAGTTCTTCATTTCTGTGGTTGGATCAGTACTGGCTTTTTCAATTTAGCATGTAGTTGGTATTTTTCTACTATATAATCCCCAGATCTGTAATTAAACTGAAATTGGTTGTCTTAAATTTCTGGCTATTTTTAATGCTGCAGACAGTTTGTTTTTCTTCCTGGTCCTTATATCCCCATGTAATTGTCTGGGTAGATTTAACTCAGTTTAACTTAGTCCTTCTGTTATCTTGCTATCTTTGCCTGACATCACTGGACTGCTGGGTGCATTTTGGGGATATCACTGGCCCTAGCTCTTTGGTCCTGGATCAAGAATGGACGCTTTAAATTCTCACTTCCAGTGATGACACCCAGTGTGCCCATTTGATAGACCAGCACTGTCACATTAAGGAAAAGGCCTTGACCAAGGTGACCTGCACTATCATTCTACCCTCTGCCCGTGGTGTGGTCCTAATTCAGTCCGTTGAGATTGATCTAGAGGGTGCTCTCTCTAAAATCTGTGGATCGGGGACACTGTGTCTCCTTGAGGGCATCTTGGCATTTGGGGCAGGACTATGCCTTCACCTGAAGGTTGTTTAACATCCTCAGCTCCTGCCGCTGAATGATGACAGCCACCGTCACCCCCTACCCCAGCAGTGATAGCCAAAAATGCCTCACACGTTTCCAGACACCCCTGAGAACCACTCCAAAAGCCCTTTCTATTTTGAAGTAAAGAAATGGCCTGCCAACAGAATTTATCATTTGGATCTGGTGACATTCATTTGGTAGACTGATAACTATTAATACTTACAAGGCATATGATGACCTGTAGGTTTGTTTGACTCACCTTTTAGTCTGAAGATAGTGTTACAGGTTTGTGGGCAAGACTTGAGAGTAAGCAACAGGCAGCTCTTTGGAAAACAGAGAGATTGATTTTTATGTCTTTTTTTCTCATTGCCATAGAGCCCGTGGCTGTTCTGCTAGCGTTCTCATTAACTACAGCACTCCGGTAATTTCAAATCCTCAGCCAGAAATCGGGGCTCCAGAAATAGGGGGCAAATATTATAACAGTAGATGGATTAGTGTATGGAGCCACTGTGGCTTGCCAACATAAGCTATGATTGTAGTAATTTGAACTGGCTTAGTAATCAAATCCCCTAACCTTTTCACAGCCTTTCACACCACAACTGCCGTGTAATTGCAGCTGGGCAGCTATTTTAAATGGCAATAGCTTTATTTATTGCCTGCATAGTTGCTGAATGCAACCCAGTTTAATTTCCATTTGTCCCTTTTTACCCAGATGCTTGTTATTGACTCATTTACTAATGTAACATTTCAGTTGGTTACAACCGCATTTTGTGGCTGCCATTGTGGGAAATCCTTAAGGTTAACAACTGGAAATTCCACAAGTTACTGCCCTTCTTCACTAAACGCAGACGTGCTGACACAGCTGTGTCATTGACCTCTTCTAAACAAAGGCCTGGGCAGAATTCTCCCTGTGGAAGACAAGGCCGTAAATCGCCTGTGCATTTTGACAAAGGATGGAGGGAAGTGTAAAGATAATTTTCAGCTTATAGTCTGTTTTGAGTTGGTTTTGGGGTTTGCTTTGTGTTTTTTAAAAGAGAGAAAGAACAGCCATATCTATTCTTAGAGTTGAGCATCATAAGAGGAAAAGGAAAAAAACTGGTAGGACAGGTTGAGAACAATGACAATAGTACTCCTTCCCCCACCGGCCTGCCAGCTGCTGATTCTTGCACTAAGGAGAGTCATGGAAAGATACAGGCCAGTGTGTCTGCTGTGTACGTTGAGAGGGGAAGATTCCATTTGAAGCATATTTATAAAACACAGCCTTTCACACACACAGAGAATGAAGACAGTATACCAGCAGTCTATTTGGAATTAAGCCTGACCTCATCCCCCGAAAAAGACAGAAAATGTTGGCTGGCTTTGTCCCCACCTGGGTCAGGCCTTCCAGTGAATACACGTGCTGGAGGCCGCCAGGTGGATCAGGAGAGACTGCAGCTCGCCCTTCTGCTAAGGGAGCTGCTCAAAGCACATGTGTATAGATTGGGTAGCCCTCATTCGAAAATCCGACATGCTCCAGACTCTAAAACGTTTTGAGCACCACGTGACACTCAAAATAAATGCTCATTGGAGCATTTCAGATTTTGTAGATTTCCAGTTTAAGGATGCTGAACAAATGCGATGCAAATAATCTGAAATCTGAAACACCTCTGGTCCCAGGCGTTTCGGGTAAGGGTTACTCAACCTGTATTAGTATATTTGTGCCTTTTGTAGGGCAAGCATTGGCTTACTTTTGAAGCAAGATAGATTACACCCTAGTTAAGTTTCAGGTTTGTTTTCTATCCAAGTTCAAACTAATAAAACTCACTATAGCCTAGGCATGATTGCCACTCTTTTCCCAGATGGACAAAAGAAAGGAAGAAAGCACAGTTGTTTTTGAACCAGCCAGGATTCCCATATTGTATGTATTTTTAAGTTAGGAAAGCCTTTTTTAAAAATGGTAATGATCTGTGCATTCTGTTTGAAAACACTTTCAGCTGGATTGAGGGAAGCAAGTACTCACAAAGGAGTTGCCTCGCTGTGCTGAGGAAAGGGAGAAACAAACGGCCGAGTGTATTTTAAGTATTTGATTCATTTATATTCACATCGTCTGAGACCTTATTAGTATCCAGCTCATTGCCATCCCTAAAGTCATCCCTAACTAATAAACTAATACAGAACCTTGGCTGCCACTCACCTGCTAGGTCAGCCATGGAGATGCCACCTCCTCAGGTGCTTCATGGGAAGGGTGGATTCAGTAGTGATCACCAGCCTTAGCCCACTGAGCTTGATTAATGGCAGCTTCTGGCATTATTTTGATGATTGTTGGTAAAATAAAATAATACGAGGCCTCTGGCCCTCACATTCTATAAAGTCTGGGTTCCCGTGCAAGGCCATTGTAGCAGATCTGTGAAGTTGAGTTTATTTTCTACTTTATTCTCCCTAATGCTCCCCGCCCCCATGATACCCTGGTACTTTCTAAAACTTTCAGCTTTTTTTTCTTTAAACCACCAGCTTTTTGCCAAAAGGACCGATTGTCTTTCACAGTAGTCTATGTGATTCCAAGGCATGGCTGGCCTTGTGTGGAGAGTTCAGAAGCCCTGGGTGCTTTTGTGGAATAGTGGTCTGAGGCTTTCTCTATGCCTGGTGTGGTCATTGGCTGGGTGCAGTCCCAAGGGTCCCCTGGTAGTTGTGGCGTTACTTGGTCCAGCTCGGGGTTAGCATTGAATGGGTAGCTTTTGCAAAGTTCAGTGCTTTAAGTTTTTCCTCTGTCCGTAGTTAACTAATCACAAAGATTTACCAGATGATCAGGTTCTTGGACTTTCTAAATCCCAAATCTGCTTAGCATATTTGTTTATACTGTACATGTTCCAATATACTACAAAATACTAGACTTACGTTGTGCCTTTACTTTGCCTTTTAAAAAATATATTAGGTTCACAGTCAACATTAATCACAAACTATTAACTTGATTTATTTCTTCCATTAAAAGTTTGCTATAGCTAATAGAAAGCGAAGGTTGGTTTTATTGCTTGTGATCTTTTTTGATTCTTGCCAGTTTCCAAAATCTATCACCGTTATGATTTAGTGATACTATCTATGGCTTACACTGTTCTTGGGAAGATGTTGAAGCAGAATATCTTTTAGTGATTTGACAGCTACAAAGGCTTTAACTGAATGAAGTTCATATCAACTGTCTTAAAGTCTTGTTTTTTTAATCTTAGACTTATTTAATTGACAATGTGTTATTCTGAGTTCTATCATTTGTTTTCTAATATTTTGAGTTTAAAGATGTGGATTCTCCAAGTTACACTGCATTTTAATTGGGTCTGTTTAAATAAGGGTCGGCTCTTGGACTCTGGGTCATAACCTCTGGGCGACTTCTTGTTCTCTGAACTCAGTTTTCTCATCCAACAAAGCAGATTTTGTGCCCAGCCTCCTAACAAGGGGTGTTGCCAGATCTCACATCTGACTGTTCTTTGTAAATCATAAAGCATGACCCGAGATGTCAGAGTATATAATTCTCTTTTGTTGATTCTCTGTGGTATCTTACAAACCATATCTCTTAAGAAAGATGTTTTTGTAAACTTTTAAATATTAAGACATACGTGAGAACCTAGTCCGCAGAATTTCATCAAGATCTATAGCAGGGTATGTGACTTTACATGAAGAACCAGACGGACTGGAGTAGCCACATGGCTTGACAAGCCAGACTCAGGTTCTCTGCTTAGTTAGGAAGGAATGGGGGGAAGTTGCAGGAGACAGAAGTACTGACGGAGCAGCTCTTCCTCACGTGTCAGGCTGGCCGCCTCGCCAGGAGCGCTGGATCCACGGGCGATTTACAAACCCTTGTCCCCACTGCCTGTCTGTGGAGTAGCATCTAGTCTCTGGCTGCTGGTTTTGTATAGTAGCATCATTGCGGGGACTCTCTTCCCTTTCACCTTCTCAAAGTCTCAGGGAAATGGTTAACCTTTTGTTTAAATACTCTTACTGTCTTCTTTTCACCTAACACACAGAGGAAGAGTATGATCTGTCTTGAGAGGCGGTGAGCCGGGCTTCCTGTATGAAGCAGAGAGATGGGACCCTTCCCATGTTCCATGCACAGACTGGTTGCCTTGGAGCACAACTCCAGAAGAGAAGGAACCATTCACTGTGCATAGTCCTTCTTAACGTCCACTGCCTTCTACCTTTTTCTTGCAGGAAGATCCACGCCTGAAATTTCCAGTACATATGCGCTCAAAGGCATCTTTAAACCCCAATGACCTTGGCCCTCTTCCTGTGAGTACACTGGAGGCACATGGAACAGTCTGAGAATGCCCATTCATCTGTCTCCCAATGTTGGTTGAGGGGCCCCGTGGGCCTTCTCTTTCTCCAGGCTTCTTGGGTCCCCTTGGTCTGTTTCTTAATAGAATGGGGTGCTTGGCCGAATTCTAATCATGTGTTATAGTTCACACGGTACCTAGTACTTGTGAAAGAGGTTTCTGAACTGCTGGCTGCTAGTGGCAGGTAGACCCGTAACTAGTGCAAGAGGCATTCTCTACAGGTGTCAGTTTAAGCTGCGCTCGCTTACTTTACAACTTTGCAACCACTGAATTCCATCCATATTGCTGATTTAGTCACAGGAACAAAAATAATAAAAGCAGTGTGGAAGACAAAGGCATAAGTAGTCACAGAAAGTTGCTGTAAGTCATTTAACCTGCAAATATT